TAACAATAAACTAACCCTAACCCTAATTACAATTAAAACTTCGAAAGTCACGGGGTACAAGGCTTTAGCGATCCCCCGATTAAGGAAATTAAATCACTAGTACTATTTTAGTAACATTGTTGAATACGTAACAATTCTTGTTCATTGTAATAGGTCATAACCTAGAGCATGTGACTTATATTTAAGCGATTATCCAGAAGCATAAATACAGGATTTCCGCAAATTTCATCCTCGGGACGAAATGACCTTGACTACGGACAACATTCCCACGGTACCTGCTAACAATCCAATCGCTAATTCATTTAGCTCGTTTGATGACATCTCTAGAAAAGTTCTGAGAGCCAATTATCCTGCTACAAATCGAAAATCATTAACCTCTAATGGTGGAGGTTCCGCTAGCAGTAGCGATTCTGGCAGTCCTAACATCGAACAAATTTTGCAAGTTTTAATTTCAACAAATTTAAATCCGAGCAATACTTTTGAACATGATTTATTGGAATTGTTGGTTTCTGGATGCAATACTATTAATACAGCTGACGAACATGTGACTTCAAAGTTTAGTAGAATTATTTTTACTTTTTGTAGTAGACATATGGTATGTTAAAAATTCTCATTAATTATATATATATATATATTTTTACTTTACTTTTGCAATTTATCATTCTAATTTTTTGAATTTTGTTGGTCTCAGGTTCGTCTAAATGATCATGAAGCAAAACAGCCCCCTTTAGATACTTTGCTAAATTTTTTGATTGAATCGTATTCAAAAGCCACTCAAGTTTCTTATATTGTTGATATTCTGAGGGCTCTAAGTCAAGTTTTATACGAAAATGGTGCAAATTGTCAGAATGTTTGGATCAATTTCATTTTTATCAATCTAGTTAAAATATTTTAAATACACTTAATAATATTGCATAATTTTATTATTCATTAATCAGCTTCATCAGAGAATATTTCAAACTCTTCTTCCTGTTGCAAGATTTGATTATCCAAACCTTGAAATTCGCCGCATGGCGATTAACGGTTTAGGAAATTTATGTTTTCGTAGTGGTGCCAAGTTACAAGAAGAATACAGAAATATTTATGAAGTACTTTTGGCGAATCTTATGACAATAGAACCTAATTTGGATGATGCTGCTTTTCTCAAAGTAAATTTGTGTGATTAATTTCTTGGATTCGACGATAAAAATTCAAATTCTTTTTAACATTATCATCACATATACTTATAGGTTATTAGTAGCACATTACGAGCATTACAATTTATCATGAATGAAGATAAGACCATTGTAACGGAAACATTTGGCGAAACAATTGAAGCTATAAAGAGATATATTTTCTTTAATGCAGAAGAATTAAAAAAGTTTTCTTTAAATACGGGTGAAAATTTTATTCATTCAATTTTTGTTTTGCAATATTACGATATAAAATGTTGATTGTATATTCAAATCAGTGCAGATAGAACGTGGACAAATAATGTAAACATGAGAAGTAATGGGCCACCGTCACCAAGATCGCCTACACGTGGTAGGCATAATCGCACAAGATCTCTTGGTCGTTCTTGGTTAAGCTCTGATTCAGAATTGTCCGATGGCGATCATGTCCAAACTTGCCGAAGGTATTATTTAACATATTTAGTGATGCAATATTTTTTATCAGATAGCTGAATTAAATATATTCTAGAAATGAGGATTCTCGAATCCGATCTAATGCTGTCGGATGCTTACAAAGCATTGCAAGAGTATGTATAATTGTTTGTATTTACAATTATTATATTTCATGTAATATAACCTTTTTATTTATAGGCTGCGCCAAAATTATTATACCCTCATTGGAATTATTTTCTTCCCGATACGCATGCATCTTTGTCTTCAGCTCCATCTTTATTCACATTGATTCAATATGAAGCTATGCCTGCAATTCGTATATCTTCCTGCTCTGTCATAACAACAATGATCGATGGGTCTAAACAATATTTGGCGGCTGCTGACGATAGGTTTGTTTTTATTACTAAATAACCGTATATATGAGGCCCTTGTTGAGATTTTATTAACTTGCATCAATTTATTATAGAGAGATAAAATCATCATTCACTTCGCTTTCCGCAAAATTAGGTGCGATTGTAAGAGAACTTCACACTGGATTATTACAGATACTTTCTAAGGAGAATCATGGCACTATTTTGATTCAATTATTGAAGGTTAGTGATTAAATATTACTTTAATTATTGTGCTAAAATATTTAACATAAGATATTATTTATTTATCTGTAGTGTTGTAACACTTTGGTCAACAATACATCATATGAAAGATTATCCGGTGGCTACCTTTCCCAATTATATAATGGAATTGTTAAATTTCTCGTTCATGAAGGTATGTTTGTGATCAATATCTTCCATATTTGTATTTACAAAATCATAATTGTGAAATCTTTAAAATTAGATAACAATGTTCGAATTTCAACTATGACACTGATATCTAACATTGTGGAATGCAAATCATGTGTCGAGGAGGTTGAAAATCTTTTACAAACCGCTATCATAAATGAGACGTTAGCAAATGGAACAGGTGCAATCAATATTTTGACGTTTCTTATAAAACTTATTAGTAATAGTAGTCAACCTGCATCTATAAGAATTGAAGCATGGGGCGTTTTATGTGCTTGTACAAGAACACATTTTGTAGTCATAAGGTAAAATTTACGTTATATTATTATTATATATATTTTTTTAAAATATCGATATAAATTTTCTATTTTACATGATCAA